GGTATTCTGTGCCAAGCCCTGTGCTCAAAGTAACATAATCAAGGCAGTACCTGAAATCAGAGAGCTTACACTGTGTTATGGACATACCACAACATAGAGCCTTAGCAGCCAGGGAGGATGGTTTCGGACTGTGACATACAGGGATGTTGAGTGGTGTCATTGAAACACCATTTCCAGTCGTAATAGCCATATTGATTTGGTTCTAATGCTAACAATTGAGAACAGTGGGGGGGGGGGGATTGTGGTGGTGTGGTACTCAAGAATCAGCTGGGTAGATGGCACAAAGATGATTAGGGTGGAAAGGGAACCACAGCAGAGGCAAGAGAGCTGTAGCGACATCCACCAATCTAAGTAGCACAGGCCCCAGGCCATGGGTTCCAGAGCTGAGAGGGTTAAGTCCACCAGGAAGGTGCAGCAGCAGACAGAGAGGAAAGCAAGACAAATGAGGTGGCATCTGAAGTATGGCTGGGGAATGGCCAGATATAGTGAGCTAAATAGCTAAATACATACAGAGACCCCGGGATCCTGTGAGGTCACTGCTGAAGGTGGTGGCATGTGCTAGGATCTCACCCAGGGTGAGAGGGGGGCAGGGGAGAAAGCACCATCATTGGGCACCTTCCCATTTTAACTAATTATCTTTACTGAGAAGGTGGCAAACTACAGCTACATCATTCCAACCCGCTGAAAAAATACCAGAGACTTCAGTACCCAGTAAATTTCTGGCCCCTGGGGCAAAACCCCACTTGGTTACCCTAGTTCTTGCTCTGTATTTTCCTTTAAGAATCTAAAATTCATTTAAAATTGAATCTGCAGTGTTAGTTACAGAGAATGTGTCCCATTTCTGCTATGATATTTAGAAGTCAGTCCATTAGGTGGATGAGTAATCAAAGAGATAAGATTAGTCAGAAAGAAAGGAAGAAGAGGTCATGGAAGGAAAGAAAAGAAGGAATTTCACGAAGGAGCTGAGGGCACTGGGAGTGAAATGCAGTACAAATAAAATAAGCAGAAAAAAAGATGATACCCAAGAACACAGGCTTTGACTACATCTGAGTTTGCACTGAGGGGCATCGTAGTTGGCACAAGCATGCAGAAGACCAGTAGGTGCTAAGGACCCAAAGCACTTCCTTTACATACTGCAGTACAGACTGTCACATTTGGAAAGGACCTCCATGACTGGTTAGGCCCATCTGTCCCTGCCAGAATTCCCCATGTAACACCTTAGGCAAATGGCCCTCCCTGTTCTGCCCAAAACAGCCATTGAAGGGAACCCACCAAGTCTTGAAGAAGCCCATTCCCTGTCTGTGCAGGGTCCACTCTTAGCAAGTTTTTCCTTCATCTAGATCAAAGTAGCTCCCTTGTAATTTCTCCCATCCCTCCTAGTACTGCCTTCAATGGCCAAACTGGACAAGTCTAATATGCTTTTCATGTGATAACTTTTCAAATATTTAAGACAGAAGTGTGTTCCCTGTTACTAAGAATCCCTAGTTCCTTCCCTCATTCTTCATATGACATTGGCTCGAGGACTTCCACTATTCTGGATGATCTTTGCTGGACACTTTCCAGCTTATCAATGGAGTTCTTAAACTGTGGCACCCAAACATAAGACAGCCCCCCAAATAAGGCTCGATGAGGGCAGACAGCCATGGACCTGACACCTTAGTGCTGGAAGCCATGCCTCTCTTAATACAGCTCCAGATCCCATGAAATGTTTTGGCAGCCATAGAATATGGTGGCCTTATTTGGTCTGGCATTCCCCTATGGGGCTTGGAGCTAACTGTGCCTCCTCCATCTTGCAGTTCCTGAGGCTGATTGAGCCCAAGTTTGATTTTACATTTATCTCAATTGAATTTTCTCTTTTCCATTTTCTTTAGACTATTTAAAAAATTACTTTTACTTTTATATGTACATGATTCATTTTGTTTTTTTTTTCCCTAGTAGAACATAAACTTCTTGAGGATGAAGCCTCTTTCCCTCTTGTAATCCCAGTGCCTAGAACAGTGCCTGGTACATAAATACTTGTTAGATTTAAATACTTTTCTTTCAGAATTTTGGACCAGTCCTAAATCACCCTTATTTAGTAGGAAGAGTTACACATTAGGCATGTCTCTAGCCTTAGTTTTTTGTTTTGTTTTGTTTTGTTTTGTTTTTCAACAGTGCTAAAGAGGAATACTGCTGGGAGACTCTATTCATTTACTGTGTAAAAACTTGAACCCTCCACTCCCATATAAAGAAGAAAACTGGTCACTGGGTGAGGATACAAATGACATTGGAGAGTTGGCTCACCAGTGTCACCCAGAATACAATTGGGTCCCTAGTGTCTTTGTTCCAACTGTCAAACCTCCACACAGGACCATGGGCTTGTGGTTGGGACCTCTAGTCCAAGGCATCCTGGACCTCTAGGAGTGGTGCCCTCACCAGACTGGCAGGGTCAAACAAGCCTAAACTCAAGGTTACCATCTCCAGAGGCTGCATGTCACTTTGCCACGTTCATTGGAAGAGCCCAATAGAATCCGTTCCCATCTTGCCCTTCACCAGATGCTCCTTCAATCAAGAAAGCGGACCAACTGCTTTCGATTGCTCATCATCAACACAATGCTACTGGAACCCAAGCACCAAGAGCAGGGTTGCTATCACCTTTCTTTTCAAAAGGCGGGTGCCAGAGTGATGCTTTCTGGGAATGCAACTCTAGCTTTGCTCCTCAAGGGTCTTCCGATATTTACGGTTGGGCATATGAATGTTCTATAACTTTGTTCCTGTATCGGTCATTGGATTGTACGTTTCTCAGCTGTGATTTAGCTTTTCATGAAACAGTGGTCCTTTTCTGGTTTTCTGCACCGCAATTGTAAGAGCTCAATCTATTAGCACTGCTTCCTAAGGGACGCATATGGCCCTCACTGGTAAGAGAACCCACCTTGCATTATGACATTCCTAAAACAGGGACATCCGAGGCTCTGTGGACATGGTGCAGCGAACTCTAGAGCAGCTGATTTTTTGAATGGCTGAAGATTTACAAATTGATGTGACTTTTTGTAGTCTGACACTCTCTCCCCTGAAAGAATAGGGGAAAAAAAACACAGATTGCCCCCCAGGGTAATGATGTCAAGACCCAGTGGCTTGTACACATTAGCCCTGTACACTGGTGAAGCTGTCCCATTGGCTCTGCCAATATCGACATGACCCACCAAAAGGAGACATTTACATCAGTTGTTTCACTCTGGTTTGGCCATGTCATACCAAAGAATCAGTCTGATCGGTTCTGCTTCCGACCATTCCATCACAGAATTGACGAACTCTTTCAGTATCCAGTGCTTCTTCACCTGGAGTCTGTAAATTTACCTTTTTCTAAAAAAAATTTTCATAAATATATTGAAACATAATTTGTGTCCTTTGTAAACTTATGTCTTTTATTTGATGCATTTTAAAACATTATTCTGGGAAGGGGTCTGTGGGCTTCACCAGATAGCCAAAGTGTGCTACTATAGACCCAGCGTTTGAAAGTTATTTTTTGCATCTTAAACACAGAAATAATGATGATGAAGTGAGGATGGTCTCTCTTTTCTCCATCTTGGGTGGAATTTTCTTCAACTTGCTGCCCTGACTGGTTTCAATTCCACGGAACAAGATTCTCCTCTCAGAATAAGCTCATTGCTTCTAAACTCACCCCTATGTTGCTACCTCAAGCCTTGATTGGCTCCATCTCCCTCAAACTCCTCTCCCTTTTGATTGGAGGACTGGAGGGCAGAGTACCAAACTCCTGCCAATGCCTTATTTTATACAGGGCTGCAACTGGACCCTCAGATCATCTCACATCGCATTTGCTGCCCTTCCTGGTTTGAACACCACGCTCAGCAGCCCCCGGTGGCCCTTCCCCAACCCCTTTCCTGTATCCTTTTGTGGGTTTTCTCCTCTTTTAGACTGCAAACTCCCTGAAGGCAAGAACTATTTTCTTTTTATTCATTGCATCCTCAGAGCTTACCACAGTGCCTGGAATATCATATGTCTTTAATAAAAGTTTATTGCCTGGAAGTAGCTTCCCCTCTTGCCCTTCACCTGACTACAGCCGTGACATTTCAAAGAAATCGAGCGGAACAAAACACCTCAGAAGGTGCATGGTCTGTCCCAGGAAGAAAACACAGATCCCGCTAAATGTTGAATGGCCTCACCTTCAAGTCAGGATTGACTCTAACCAGCATTCCACAGGAGCCATGTTCGGCTGCACTGGAGACTGTCAGCTCAGAGAACAGGAAATGTCTTTCTTGCTTTCAAAACTATCAAAGTAGGTTTAAAAAAAGAAAAGAAAACTATGCTCCAACCCCCAGAAGGAGTGTGATTAGAGAGAGCACATACCTTGGCAACTAAGAAATAGGTTTTTGTTAAGTAAAAATGGATCACTCTTAGTAGGTTGACTAAGAGTGAGTCACCAAGTGTGGGATGGTGACGAGCATTAATTGGGCTCCATTAACATGTTGGAGGGAAGCTTCAGCCCCCTAGTTATGGCCATTAATATCCATCATGGAGACCTTGTCTGCATGGTGTTTAGTGTGTGTCCCTAATGTTGTCCACTGAGTGTTTTCCTTGGGCCCGTCATTAAGAATGATTCACAAACCTTTGTGGCATTTAAAACAGAGTTCTGTAAAAAGTAATGAAGATAAAATCACATGCTGTAGGGAACACAAAGGTTGTAATTTCAAAATATGGCCCGACACCAAAGTCCTTCAGCCTACGGCACATCATTTTGTCAATTCATGTGAAAATATTTATTCCCTGAAACCATCATTTTGTAAGATGAGTGTCCACAGCAGGAAACCTTAGGCTGACCAAGGACATTTGCTTTTTCCTCTACATGAGAAAGCTTTTCAGCTGGAGAGCTGTGCTAAGTCCTAGTCTCAGTTACTTTTCTGGGCCCTGCAAGGGAAGCTTACAGGGCTGACGGTCTTAGGAATGTTGGGCTATGCCTAGATTTTTTGGGGAAAAAACAACAACAACAATATCCTCTTTTGAGAACCCATTTTGTTTATTGTGATTTGACCTGGAGGGTTCAAGGATACTGAGAGAAGGAGCTCGGGTACAAGATCTTCTCTGGCATGTCAGCCTAAGAGATGGGCGTGGCTCAGGTCCAGGGTCCAGTAGCACTCATCTGGAGTTAGGCCTCCAACCAAAGCACAGAGATGAAAGCGGTGTCATTGAGAATCCATAAATCCATGCACACAACTGAGTTCAACCACACGACTAAATGCTCTTTGTTATTCAAAGATGAACTGAATCAATACAAGATAGCACTGATAAATCTTTAGCGCTTTAATGCAGAGAGAGAGAGAGAGAGAGAGAGAGAGAGAGAGAGAGAGAGAGAGAGAGAGAGAGAGAGAGAATCATGCATTTCAAACATTTTTTCCCCTTGTGGCATGTCTGAAGACAGAAAACATATGATGATGCAATGGGGGTCAATATGAACAAGCAGGACCTTGGCTGTTCAGGGAAGCTTTCACATTGTGTGTCCCTAGTTCAACGCCACATGTTATGGGTAACCATCCTAGGACATGCCTCAGGTCACTACAGGGGTCACACATAACCATGCAAAGCTCTATGCCATCAGGTATAAGTAGTACTAAGAAATCTCTCAGAGGCAAGAACCAAGGACATGCATGATTCACACTCCCATCATCTTAATGTTTGAAATAAGTGGAAGTACCAACATCAAAGAGAAGGGCCTAAGACCATCTCTGGGTTCCTTTCTCAGATGCACTTAAGTGAAACATGAGTACATACATTTACGTATAGCAAGGAGGCCAAGAAGGACTTTCTGGAACTGGGACTACATATTCTGGAGCTCTATCAAAGGTGAGCATTTTATTATAATTAATGGACCGTTTACCCTCTTCTAGTGTTATTTCAGCCATTTCTAAAGGAATTCAAAGAATTGTAAATTTCCCGGAGTGGATTGGCTCCCCAGTGCCTGATTAATTATGCATTAACCCATTTCTCTCAGGCCTCTCTCACTAAATCTTTGGTGGGAAATGCAGTTGATTAGGCACACGGTTTACAAAGTCCACTTGGTTATTGGATACATAAGCAATTATGAGGTGCTCTCACAGGGGTTCAGAGGCAGGGAGATTTAGCGTTTGTCTCAGTTGCAGAATTTTGTTCAGAGTCAAATGCTTTCATGTAGTTCTGGAAGAAAGAACTTGGCTTTCCATTTTCCTAGAAATATATGTCTTCTGCTAATTCACTAGACAATCCATTCTCCCTTTTCAATCACACACGCAACAGAGTTAAGCTTGGAAGAAGAGGGGAAGCACAGGACAAGCAGTGAGACGAGAGGGATAGCTGTTTAATGAAACCTGTGATTGTAAAGGCCCCTTAAAATCAAGGTCAAAGACCATTGATCTGATATTTGGTTCCCAAAGAGAAGACAACAATAATAATTATAATACTGATAATGATAATCGTAGCTCACATTTAACTAGCGTGTTTAAAGGTCTACAAAGCGCTTTACATTCAACATCTCGCTTAAGCCTCTAGCCAGTCCAGGGTTAGCATCCGCACCCTGCTGTTACTGATCTGGGCTGGGTAATAAAGGGGATCAAACTGAGAGTATCAATTTCTCCTGGCAGTTCCCTTTTCATGTTTCACAACAGGCTACTCCCACAAGTTACTAAGCACGGGCTGCAGGAGGGGGGAAGGGTTGGGGTGGGGGTGTATGTGGAGAGAGACATAAGAATCCATGGGAATGCATGCCACAGATATATGCAGTATCACTTTATGGAAACATCTGCTTTCTTCATGCAAAATGCCTCTGAAACTGGGACAAGAAATGTTCTAATAGCAGAATTGTACACGAGCTCAGGCACAGACACTGCAGAACCCGTTCCAAGGGTTGGCGGCATATACAGACGACAGCAACGGGTCGAAGCTTTCCAGGGCGAATGTTCGCAAGGCGGAGGATGCCCGGTCGGCGGCTAAGACCCAAGCAGCTGGGCTCACTCCTTGCTGCGGTGCCGGGGCCTGCGCACGATGGAGCGGAAGAACCCAGTTTTCGGCGGGGGTCCCATAAGCATTGGTGCTTGGTTCTTGTGGATAATTTTTATCTGGGGAAAATGCATATAAATATACATAAAGAAAGAGTCAGTGCTCGATTCAATCATCTTTTTTTTTTCTTTTCTGAAACTCTGTGCTAAGGTTACAAATATTTCATGAGCGGCTGAATAGCCACAAAGAGCAGCAGCTCTGGAGCCGCTATTATTACATAAACTTCTCCCCACCCCATCACTCTCCCCACTGCCCTGACCTTTTTTAAAGAAAAGACATGAGAATGCATTAAAACACATTTTATTACACAGGATACTTCAAAAAACCATAAAATTAATCGAGTTCATATTTTAAACATCATGCTTTCTGTAACCACATACAGCAGAGCTCAGGGCAGCACTGGCAGCTTCCATGGTTGGCCATTTGGCATTTCATCCGAGCACAACTGAGCACGATGCGCAGACAGGAGGGGATGGTCCGATATCATGGCAGCCTGGGACAGGGCTGAAAGCCTATTGGGTATTCACCTGTCCCTGGGATCCTCCCAGGCTTTTTTTTTTTTTAATGATCCTAAGACCCGGGTTCCTCTTGCTTTACTTCCCGTCATTTTCAAAACAATCATTGGAAGACAAAGTCAAAAGCAAACGTGAAGGAAAGGTCAAAAATGATGAACTAGCTTTCTAATTTGTTAATTAATTGGTAATAGAATAGAATCGAATATTGAAAATCCTGTTTCCTAACCCTCTAGAAGGCTGTTTTCAAGCTCTCTGCTTCCCTTTCTTTGATATAGAACAACGAATCACCTTAGATGAGACAACCTCCGAGTAGATTATGTCGGCAATTTTCTCTAATTCCAGCCTAAATTAGAGAAGACATTTTATGAATCTCGGCTATGCTCACAGCTAATTGAAAGCAATTATCAGAGTGGCATTTTGTCTGTGGCTTTAAGATACATTGTAAGATAATAAATGATTCTCATTATGTAATAAAAAGGTCACGTCTTGCCTTTGGGCTAGTGACGCCAAGAGTTTTTCAAAAGCAATCGGAGACATTTTCTTTAGCGAGCTGCGCCCGATATAAGAGCCATCCCTTATTAAATATCAGTTGTCACCTGCACACTCTCCATATCAGAAATGAGTATTTCTTTCAAAAAGAAACACCGTCTCATTAAAAACGGCAAAAAATATATCTCTTAAAGTGCATAGCTGACATTTCCAAGTGAAAATGAATCTCCTTCACTTGTCATTCACTAATAGCAATGAAACAAAAAGATGTGTGTCACATGGATGGGATCATTAAAATCGGCACGGGGCCCAGGCTGAGGGTGGGGGGAGGAGTACGACGGTAGGAAACACCTTAAAAGAAGGAGCACCTTTGCTGAGCTCCAAAGGAATCTAAGGTCATTCTGGACGCAGTCAAGGTGCCTCTCCCCTGGTTTAAAAAAAAAAAAAGTGGGTGTAGGCTGGTATCTCTTGCGGCTTATTATCCGAGTCTCAGGTTACCCCAAAATGTACTGTTGGGAAAGCCAACTTGCAAAATAGGACCCTTCCATCTTCCCTCTCATGATGAGGATACGCGGGAGGGGCTCGTGAGTGGCTCACAGGTATCACCTCACACAGGGGCTTGATCAAACATTTGTAATTAGTTACAATCTACTTACATGTGAGCCAATAAACATTTACGAAGTGCTAAATAGCACACTCCTTATTTCCCAAGGTGTAATTTACATTCTATTTAAGCCAGAAGCCGTATGCCCTTCTTATCTAGATCACCTGGTGAAAAGTAGAATGGAAGCTGCTTGTGGGCAGGAATTGTCTGATTGTTATCTTTTTATCTCTAGTACCCAGCAAAATAGGAGATGTATGGCAGGTGTTTAATGCATATTGGTGCATCAATTTCTTAATAGGGACATGGGAGAATTTTTGTTGTCGCTGGGAGAATGGTCTCTTCCAATCCACCTCTACATCTTTTGCTAAGCGCCTACTGTGTGCAAGGCACTGTGCTAGATGCTGGGGATAAAAAGTTATGCTAAAAAAAAATCCCTGCTCTCAAGGAGATTCTACTCTATAATTTTTTTTGCCAGGCGATCTAGAAAAGAAGGGCCTTCTGTACCTGTTTTGAAAACTAGGAGGTCAATGAACTAGCTTTGTAGGTAACTCAGAAAGTATACTCTAAATATCACAGGCACTTCCCTTAGTAGAATGTAAGTTAATTGAAGACAAGAGCTATTTTATTTTAGCCTTTGTGTCTTCAATCAAGTCCAGTCCGTCCAGGCTCTTATAATACATTACATATGATAATGAAGTGAATTCAGTGGAGCAGGAAGGGAACTCAAGGGTCTGGTCAGACGTGTGCTTGAGAAAAAAAATTCCCTCTCCAAGATACATATGTAAGTGATAACCTAGGCCCTGGCTGAAGACCTCTAGTGAAGCAGAACCCACTCTCTCCTGAGGCAGCCCTTCTACAGTTAGGATGGTCTCTCTCTCTCCACATGTAGGTATGTGTGTATGTATGTGTATACACCTACACGCGCGTGCACACACACACACACACACACATATATGCATGTGTATATAGTATTTCCATATTTATGTCTTTATATGATAAACTGGATGTCTGTGTGTGTCAAAGAATCAACTAGCATTTCTTAAAGAGCTACTCGGTGTTAGGCATTGTGCTAAATATATTCAACAAAAGGACTGAATAAAGACATTTAATAAATATTCTTTGAGAGTGATGATAAGAACTATAGATTTCAGGACTTGGTAGACAGAAAGAGATATAGAGGTCACTCTAGTTCAATCAGCTCATTTGATTGATGTACAAATAGAGGCTTAGAGACAGGGCAGGACCTGCTCATGGCCATACAGCCAAGTAATGCCAGAGCTGGGAGAAGCACCAGGGTCTCTCGATTCCCTGCCCAATGACATTTCCACCACAGCACAAAAGGAAAGCCTGCCTGCCTTAGAACCCTCACTCTTAACATGGGAAAGCTGAAGGACAGCTAGCAGGAAGTACCAGGACTTCACTCTCAACAGACCATTAGCATTATAGTCCAGGAAGTGCAGATGGCCCATTGACTCTCCCTCGATGAATTGCTCTATTGACTGCACAGACCTCAGGGAACTGGTGACCAAGGAGTGGTGATCATGCCACAGAACACGGAGAGGGCGAGTGAAGAATGCAGCACTGTTTCAGAGTGTGGACAGTAAGGGGATTTTTAAAAGTCAACTTCTCTCGCCTTCATAGACCAAATGGTAAGTAATGGCCTTGCATTGGTGTTCATTCTTCTTTTGATATCATGTCCATTTTCCTTTGAGCTGGGTATGAGTCTACCATTGCTTTGAACCATCCTTTCTCTGAATTTCAAGTTCTTTAGTGAGGCTTGACAATTCCTCAGTAAGAAATGGGGCCTCAATATCAATTGCTGACATATCTTTACACCTGTACCCTTGAGCAATTCCCACCTGATTCCTCTATGAACTAGCTCCATTCAATCGGGCCATTTATCTCAATCACTTCAATCTCTTCCCCTCCATGAGCTCATTTCCTTCAGTCTATAAATGCATCTGTTAGTGCTATCATGGGATCATTCAGTTGTGTCCAACTCTGTGAGACCCCATAGCATGGGGTCACAGCATGTGACCATAGCATGCCAATACTGTCCATGGGGTTTTCTTGGCAAAGAACCTGGAGGGGTTTGCCATTTCCTTCTTTAGTGGCTTCAGGCAAACAGAAGTTGAGTGACTTGCCCAGGGTCACACAATTAGTAAGCATCTGAGGCCACATTTGAACTCAGATCTTCCTGACTCCAGCCCCAGTACTCTATCTGCTGAGCCACCTAGCAGTCTTCATAAGATGCTACTGTGCTTTATTTGATTTTTTTAAAAGCAATTAGATAGGGCACCATCATCATATTTAGATCGTGCTTACTACGTACCTGGCATTATGCCAAGCACTTTACAATTATCTCATTTGATCCTAATTATTATCCCCTATTTGACAGTTGGGAAAATTGAGGCAAACAAGGGTTTAAGAACGAATTACTCACATTGATCTTAAATTTTCAATGGTCACCTTTTGTCTTCCAAAATGATGCTCAGCTTTGATGGGCAGGTGACTTTGGGGATGAAAGCCTATGTTTCTTGACTTCTGAAACATTTCAAAACCTTCTGTCATTTCTTGTTTTTGCGTAACAATTTTGGAAATTTGGTATTTTTTTTACATGTGACACTTTTCATCTCTCCTGTTTTGTTCCTAAGATCATAGCTTTGTCAGTATTGACTTGAAGCTTGGAAATGATGTGTTGGGACATGTTGAATTTGGGACTCTTCTCTTGGCATCCTATGAAGTTTCTCAATATTTATTTCATGCCCCATTTTTTAATACATTTTAGGAATAATATCACACAGTTTTTTTAAATGAGAGTCAGATGATTTATTTTTAATAATTTTTAGAAAGTCTAATAATTTTAATATTCTGTCTTTGGGAGTATACTCTAGATATTTTGCTTTTGCCTGAATTCCTTCTAAACGCACTTGCATTTGAGTAATTTTCTGGGTTTGCATTTCTTTTCCCCCTGTGCCTTCTGACATTCTGCCCTCCAATATAAATAAGATGGAAGAGTATATGCATAATATAATGATGATGATACTGATAGCCAGAATTGATATACTGTTTTAAGGTTTGCAGAACACTTTACCAAGGTTATCTCATAACAACCCTGGGAGATGTTTTGTCATGCCAATCTTAGGGTGGAGGAAGCTGAGGCAGACAAAGGCCATGTGATTCGCCCATTGTCACCCAACTGCTAAGTGGCTGAGGCAGATCTGAACCCAGGTCTCCCTCACTCTCTATCTAGTGACATGGACAGAAGGGAGCACAAGCCGAAGAACGATACACACACTAGAAAATAAAGATCGTTAACAGCCACATCATCTGCTTTACATGTCTAGGCTGCTTGTGTTGATACAGATATAGAGTGAATAGACACACCCGCTGTATTGGTTAATAGCTAGTGAATCCCAGGAGCATAGAGTTACACGAGCAATCTTTTGCA